GTAAATATATACATATAACATAATTATTACAAAGAATAATTACCTGAGCAGTAATGGATTTCAAAGCGATCTTTTCATCATGGTGTATAAGTCCGTTCAGCTTGACTATGATAGCGTCATTTGATAAATCTACCTCCTTGCTGATCTGATGTAGAACTGAGTTTATGAGCTGCAACAAACATTATTAAGTATTTATTTATATATTACAATTAAAATTAGTATTATATAGATTTCGTACTTCCATTTTTATTCCTACTAATATTACAACTTTGAAATTATAGGATTTTTAGGGTACAGGATTGAACTTGTTTTTGTTTTTCTTATTGAAGTCTGCCTCGTTGGCCGAGTGGTCCCAAGTGCGACTACCAGGCAAGGGGTCTCGGGTTCGATTCCCGGATCGGGCAAAGTAGTAGCACAGAGTCTGGAAACGTGCCCGGTATATGGCAATAGGCTAACCCTCTATTACATGGGACTCATAACATAAATAGTGAAAAGTGGGTGTTACATTGTACAGTGATACACATTCAGGGATAAAAAGGCGCGATGTTGTGTTATTTTATGTTATTTCAAAAGTTGTTAGAATTAGGTAATTTGGATGATGGTAGGGTATGAAAATTGAAAATCTAATTTTTTATTTTGTCGTATAATAAAACAATACTTAGATAAAACGAATCAAAGTTTATGAGTGGGGGCTAAACGTCATTTCTACGTATAAAATGTACATAGAAGTGACATCGTGCAACATTTCAAATCAGATCAGAAAGTATTAGTTTCTCCAATTCTCCCATGTAATACGCGGTGAGCTTGTTGCCGTATACCGGGCAGAGTTCCAGACTTCGTCCAGTCACCGAGATTTTTTACAAAAACCCTGGAATATTTTGCCCGACCCGGAAATCGAACCAGAGACCCCTTTCCGCACTTGCGACTACTGGGCTTACGAGACAGCCTTACTTACTTTTAAAATATAACTAAACAAAACAATGAAATACTGATGTTTGAGGTTACAATGTGGTTACGAACTTAATTCTTATTATTATAGCGTATATCTTTATAAAACATCAATTTCAAGTACTTACAGTAGTTTTACCACAACCTCGAGGTCCAAGCATCAGAGCAGAATGAGATTCACCGTGAGAAACAGTCCTTTTAAACAAATCATAAATATGATTTCTTTCCTGGCTATGACCTCGGAATGAAACGTTATCCGCCATTATTTTCAACTTTAAATACTTTCTTATAAGTTTTATTTGCACTTTGAGTGGATTTTCACTTGCTAAGCCGCACATTTTTGATAAATTTGTAAAACAAAATATTTACACAGACAGCCGGCTTTCCCGCTTTGCCGCTTTTTTGATAATATCATATGACATGTCAAAATGACTTTGACAGTTACAATTTTGAACGTGACATTTGAATGAGAATGACTCCTTTTCGCGCACGATAGTGTTGTCAAGATTTATTATTAAGAAGAATGAGTTATTTCATTCATTGTTTGGACAAAATGAAAGTGATACAATTTTCTAAATAAAAGAAATCAGAATAAAATAAGGTGCAATTTTTGTTCAAACTACAAAACATGGAAATTCAACATCAACGGGCTATGAAATGTCAACCTCAGACCTTCAGCAGTTGCCGCAGTTACCGCGCATGTGCGACTTTAACGCCTCCCTGCGTGCTTAAGTGAACAATCGATAAATGATGTGGTACACATGAGATCTGTATCCTGAGACTAATATTTTGGTCTAAATTTAATATATCAGTATTATTCTCGTTAAAATCCTAAGTAATGTAGTACACCGAAAAAGAAAAAAACTAAATATGGCAAACTGTATCTGAAATTTCCTCATTAAATACTTAGGAATATTCTTTGAAAAGAATTGAAGAGTGTTATACAAACTAATCATTACCGTTAAACATTAAAATAATAAATAACAATTCTGCTTGAACTTTAAAAATATAAATACTTACGACGAAATTCGCGAAAAGGTGTCTTAAGATTGCTATTACGTTTATATTACCTTGATCTTCATTATACCTCTCTTTCTATCATTTCCTAAAATAGGCTTCCCATCCTTTTCCTGACCTTAAACCCTGCAGATTTCATTGTGTCCCACATGAGACACATTTTATAAGTCGATCTGAATATATTAAAACGTTATAAATTCAGTTTTTACTGTACATTATTAATGTGATAATAATATTGAACAGTATTATGTGTGCAAAGTTAGTTTGTGTGTTGATATAAAATTGTATTTCTCGTTTCCTTTTTCCCAACGTGTAGCACAGTTCTCATGTCACTACACTATTCAGTGTCGCTGAAATTGAGGGAAAATATTAAAACCAACTGGACAATGTGTTCTATTTCATCGTTATAGTGTGACAAAAGTGATTTAACAAAAAACAATGAGTGTTAAACCGTGCATCAGGTTTTAAAATAGTTCAATTATTTATTGCAAATTTTGCACTCGACACCAGCCATAAATATACACAATGTAATTTGTATAATATATTTCATACAATTAGAGAAACAGCAGTGTGGCACCGCTTTCAGTGTTCATTTACAGTGAAAAATAGGACGCAAAATTGCTTAATGCTTCAAAATTGTAAGTGATAACGCATTTTATGATTGGTTTGCATTACTCAAATTTATGAAGTAATTCTTTATATTTTATAATTTTATGTGCTATAAATAATAAACATAACGTAGTAACCGCGTACCTATACAAACTTTATTTATGAATTTAAACGTAAATACTATAAATATTCCGTTTTTTTATGTGTTTATCATCGATTTCTTATGAAAGCAATTTAACCAACGCACCAAATCGATAACATGACGGGTTCGTGCATATTCTAATTCAAGGTCTCTACTATAAAACTATCCCATACTTTTATCAACCTTTTAGCCTAGTTTGAATGATTCGGAGAATTTACAAATTAATTAATAACTGAAATGTTTTAGACTTCGCAGACTTAGGAATTCTGAAACCTTGAATGTTATTTGACATGAATATTTCTTTGATTGCTGTATTTCACATGAACAGTAATTACCAAGTCAAGGTTACTCGGCGATTAAATATTAAGTTTTGCAGTGTTCTTTGCATGTTTCTGTGACATTAATAGCTTCAGTAAAATTGCATTTTATTGTGTTTCTTTTTGTTCCTCAAGCTTTTCTTTTCAATGCCTAGTTGTTAATTTGTAAATTATTATTGTAAGTTTAATTTAAATCGGTATCCCCGTCAAACAGACAACACTAGTACGGATTCAAATCAGTTCATCGATTCATTCAACCATTAGGAATCATTCATTCACGAAAATAAGCCTACAAAATTGCATTGACATAAAAATACTAGGCGAGATCTATTCTCTATCTCATTTATCTTGAAGACCTTCTACGACATAAGACAAGGACAGAAAAATCTTGTGAGTCTATCATGTAGTGATTTCATTTAATCGTATTCATTAAAAAATTATCGTTTTGTTCCTTGCAGTGGCCGTGGGTGTTTATATTTTTATTTTGATATTAAAATACAAAGAAACTATCGAATTTAAATGTTTTCATCTCGAAAATATTGATTGATTTCTATATTTGTTATTGCGACCTCTTGAAACGTAAGTTTTCACTTTGATTTACTAAAAAAAAGGATGAAATATCCACACACGAATCATCAACGACATTTTCGTAACAAAGTTACGAATTATCGGCGTTTTAGTAAATAGAGCATGTTTATAATTAAAGTAGGGTTTATCTAAAGTTATCGTGTGCGTTTATTGTCCGTAAATTAAGCGTTGGTTGTTGTCATTTCGTGTTAATTTGTTCTTCCTGTGTTATTCAGGTATGAATGTAACTATAACGTCTCAAACTACGGTGTCTTTGTTCAGGAGACAGATGTGAACAATACTATCTATTAAAAGCTATATTGTTCACATTACTAACACAAGAAAACCTCTTTTATCGTTAAATACTTACAGTTTTTAGTACCTACAATCACAAATTATTTGAATGTGTAATTTTATGATTTAATGTGTTGTGGATATTCTTGTTATGCTGTTAGAGATTTTATATCTGAATAAATAGAGTAAAAATCACTTTAAACATTGTAGGAAATGTATAGATATTCCTATGATTTTATTTCGTGTAAATTTATGCATTAACTCGTCGAGTACCGGTTTTGTAGACACAATTATAGAACAATAGATTGCGGTCACCGGTGACTGCTTGGTGTTTGACAGTTTAAAGTCATCTATCAATCTTGATCTCATGGGCTGCATCTATTTATCTAAATATCCACCAAAGACTACCAGATAAGCCGGTTGGAAACAAACTGCATCCAAATTCAAATATTTATTGCATTATTTTTATTTATTTATCAATACATAGTATAAAACAAAGTCGCTTTCGCTGTATGTTCGTATGTATGCTTAGATCTTTGAAACTACACAACGGATTTTGATGCGGTTTTTTTTAATAGATAGAGTGATTCTTAAGGAAGATTTGTATGTATATACATATTGCACCCGTGCGAAGCCGGGGCGGGTCGCTAGTTTATTATATTATATATGGGCCAGAGTTGCCAGAAATAAAGGAACAATAAAAACAAATAAATTATATCATATGTACTGTAGTACACCACCTATTGTAATAGGTGTTCAATAATTGGGTATAGGTTCAACATGAAACCCGGTTAAGCAAAATATAATCTTAACTAGCAACCCACCCCGGCTTCGCACGGGTGCTTATACATGTACTTTACATATAAACATTCTTTAAGAATCATTCTATCTATTAAAAAAAACCTTATCAAAATCTATTGCATAGTTTTAAAGATTTAGGCATACATAGGGACAGACAGACGGCGGATAGTGACTTTGTTTTATACCATGTAGTGATTACTTATAATATTATCACATAAAAAAATATTGCTTTTATTCTGAACGTTACTATTTTTCCTTAAATTTTTACAAAAGTATTTACTTAACTCGTCGAGTACCGGTTTTGTAGACACAATTATAGAACAATAGGTTGCGGTCACCGGTGACCGCTTGGTGTTTGACAGTTTAAATTTCTTATTTATAGGTATTTATGTTAATTGAGTGTAGTTTATGTACTACTAGCTTCTGCCCGTGACTTCGTTTGCGCAATCCAGTTTTCTCCTGTTCCTGTAGGATTTTCAGAATTTTTTCTGTCTTAAAAACCTTCTCCTAATAATAACAAATATAACAATAAAGAATTAGTGAAATCGGTCCAGCCATTTACCCGTGATGCCGTGACCAATTGAAAAAGGGATTCATTTTTATATATAAGAGAAGAATAGCTTTTACCCGCGGCTTCGCTCGCGTCACAAAAGGATAAAAAGTAGCCCATGTGACATATACTAATACACATATTGACTGCACGGTTGGTGCTGGGCAACCGGCTGCCGTGCAACGTGTCGCGGGTTCGATTCCCGCACGGGACAACACTTTGTGTGATCCACAAATTGTTGTTTTGGGTCTGGGTGTCATTGTGTATGTGAACTTGTATGTTTGTAAACGCACCCACGACACAGGAGAAAATCATAGTGTGGGGCAACGTTTAAAAAAAAAAAAAAGAAAAAAAAACTTTCGTTTTCCCTCGAGAATATCAAATTTTTCTGTGATAAAAAGTACCCCATTATTTAATCCAGACTTCTAACTTTACATCTGCAAAAATTCAAAGCAATCGGTTTAGTAGTTACGGCTTGAAAGCGGATCAAACAAACAAACGATCTCACTTTCCCATTTATAATATTTGTAAGGCTTATGAATTTTCAGCCAGTCTATGCATAAATATCAGTAACTAGCTACTTTCATGCGGTTTCATCCGCTCTGCTCAGTGCCTATATATCGTAGCGTTATGTTTTATAGCCTATTGCCTTCCTCGATAAATGGACTATGCAACACAAAAACAATTATTCAATTCAGACCAGTAGTTCTGGAGATTAGTGAATTCAAACAAACAAACAAACAAAGATCAGTTTTAAATCTATACTAGCGTTTCGCACGGGTGCAATATGCATGTATTATACATATAAACCTTTCTTAAGAATCACTGTATCTATTAAAGAAAACCGCATCACAATCCGTTGCGTAGTTTTAAAGATCTAAGCATACATAGGGACAGACAGACGCGGATAGCGACTTTGTTTTATACTATGTAGTGATATAAATATAAATCATAATGACATATAATTATTTGTTTGAGAGTATTCTGTCTTAGATAACCTTTGAATGAACTGTATGTCGAAATTAATCATATGTAATACTATTTGTACAGCTGTTTGTATCTTAGACAGATTCAATAGAAGCTAATGAATTGACGAATACAAGTTATGTTGCTATACCTTGTAACATGTCGCGGAGAACCTAACGGGTAACCGGGGCTCCGGCTCGACGTGCAGGAGAAGGAACGGGGTGGTTTTTAGTCAGTAAGAGTCTGACACTCCCTCCCGCCTCACCCAGGCGGGAGCAGTCATTCGATGATTTTCCCCCCTTAAAAAAAAATACCTTGTAACATATTCTATAAAAACGCGCATGTTCCAAACGAATTATTACATATACATTCGAACATCACGCCTTTTATCCCCGAAGAGGTAGGCAGAGGTGCACTTTACGGCACTTAATGCCATTGTACGATGTAACACCCACTTTTCTGAGGTGAGGGGTGAGCCTATTGCCAAGTACTGGGCACAATTTCAGACTCTCTGAAGGAGATTTAAAAAAAAACCCTGTAGTACTTTGCCATGCTATGCCCTTGAATCGAACCCAAAACCCCTTGCCCGGCAGCCGCACTTGCGACCTTTTGGCCAACAAGGCAGTCATCTCAAGCCTCTTTCAACCAGTTTGCCGTAGGCCTCCTTCAATTATTTCCACTTAGTTCTATCACGGGTTATTACTTATTACCGTCCAATTTTGTCCCACCACCTCTGATGTCATCATTCCATCTCATCTGTGGTCTACCAACAGGTCGTTCATTTTCCCACAGCGTCCACTCCAGCAGCTCCTTACACCACGGGTTGTGATTACTTTCCATTTCATTTTTTTATGAGATCACCTGATGGTAACTAATCGTCATCCAATGACTTCTCCCGCCCAGGCGAGAGAGAGAGTCAGACTCTTACTGACTAAAAACCAACCCGTTCCTACTCCTGCACTTCGAGCCGGAGCCCCGGTAACCCCTTTAAGTCTTCCGCGGCTCCGTAGCGGCATCAGCCCTATTGGGCCCCATCTGTGGAACACCAGAAACATTACCAAGTGCGTTACCGACCTTTTTAGGAATTGGAATTAGGATTAGGAATTAGGATTGTTGAGGATTCAGAGATTGGGGCGATTGGAGAAGGAGTAATTGGGCCACCGGTAACCTCACTCACACGACGAAACACAACGCAAGCGTTGTTTCACGTCGGTTTTCTGTGAGGCCGTGGTATCACTCCGGTCGAGCCGGCCCATTAAAAATGCATACTTCTGAAGTCAATTACACTTTAAATAATTAGAATACTTACCTACTACAATAAAATCTGTGTCCTATTGTTCACATTGTACTAACATACGAATAAAAACATTGATAATTCAACAATATGGTAACAGGAAAGTACGTAATTATTTAGAAATAATAATAGAAAGATAATATAAGTACCTATTGCAAGTCAATGTTAATTACAAATATAGTTACAAACATTCATTTCACAATGGACTGATAAAATATTCATATGATTCTTGTTTTATTTATCCTTGTTTTGTATAGGAATGTAGTCAATGGAAATTATTATGGAGCATAAAATCACTTAAGCCACATTTTTTTTGATACTTAACGCTTATTTTTTAACCGATTTCCCAAAAAAGGTGGAGGTCATAACAAGCTATATTTTTAATTCACTCTCTCTTTACTCGACGTAAGTGTTGTTTGAAATTGTATTCATAACACCAGTTTTTCTTTTATTCCTTGAACTAACACCTAGTACTGTTTTCTGTGTCACTGTGTGTTCACAAACACAATATCACATAATTATAAGTACAAGCTTCTACCAGCGGTTTCACTCCCGGTGCTTAGCCTAGCGGGTTATCAGGGTTCCGGCTCGAAGCAGGATTAGGAACGGGGTACGATCTCCGGCCACCGTCGTGTTCCTCGCACGCCTTAAAGAGCCATCAGACCACCATAGATGGGGCCAAATAGGGCAGATGCCGATACGAAGCCACATACGACATTACGGGCTGCCGATTGCCGAGGCTCCGGCTCGAAGTGCAGGAGTAGGAACGGAGTAGTTTTTAGTCAGTGTCTGACACCCCCCTCAAAAAAAGGAGTAGGAACGGGGTTGTTTTTAGTTTGTAAGATTCTGACACCCCCCTTAAAAGAAAAGGAATAGGAACGGCGTTGTTTTTGGTCAGCAAGAATCTGACACCGCCCCTCAAAAAAAAGGAATAGGAACGGGGTGGTTTTTAGTCAGTGTCTGACACCCCCCTCAAAAAAATGGGAGTAGGAACGGGGCAGTTTTTAGTCAATAGGAGTCTGACACACCCCTCAAAAAAAAAGGAATAGGAACGGGGTGGTTTTTAGTCAGTGTCTGACACCGCCCCTCAAAAGAAAAGGAATAGGAAGGGGGTGGTTTTTAGTCATGAATTTCCTCCCTCAGCATTCTCCAACAATCTCGATCCCTGTCCAACACACACAATGACATGTTTGCAGATGCCTCTCGCTGTGAGTAGCGCGGTGGTGACGCGCGCGGCGCAGGATGTCGGAAGAACAGGCGTGCCTTGTGCGCGCCCGGTCAGATTCTGAAGGCTCGTCCAAGCACAGCTTCGGAACTATGACTTATACTGAGGATAGACTTAGCGGTGAGTATCTAATAATATTGTGGCGACACATGTCACATGTCAACAGATGACGTCACAAGAATCCTACATCGCACATGCAAAGTTTATAAGCGAATTAATACGAATAGAAAATCCCAACGAACAACTGTTGGGCAGAAAGCCCGCCAGGCACGATCACCTCGCCTGGTCGGAGGATCCTCCTTTTCCGATCTTAGGGAACTATACTCTCTGTTCCCAAAAATATTTAATTTTTTTAAACAGCTAATTTTTTTTTAAACCCCACACTAGACTTTTCTCTTGTGTCGTGGGTGCGTTCACAAACATACTAGTTGACATATACATAATGACACCCAGACCCGGAACAACAATTTGTGGATCACACAAAGAGTTGCTCCGTGCGGGAATCGAACCCGCGACACGTTGCGCGGCAGCCAGTTGCCCAGCCACCGCGCCAACCGTGCAGTCAAATTTATCAAGGGCATGAATATAATGGAAGCTAAAATATGTAAGGATTGTAGTAGGTGGCCATCTTTAGTACCTACTGTAGTTCCTCCTTACCCATAGGATCTTATTAGATACTAGCGACCCGCCCCGGCTTCGCACGGGTGCAATATGCATGTATTATACATATAAACCTTCCTTAAGAATCACTCTATCCACTAAAAAAACTACATCAAAATCCATTGCGTAGTTTTAAAGATCTAAGCATACATAGGGACAGACAGACGGCGGCGGAAAGCGACTTTGTTCTATACTATGTAATGATTATTGTCCAAAAAAAACCGTTAACTGACACTAAAATGTTTTCCTGTGTCGTGAGTGCGTTTACAAACGCATAATTTCACACATGACACCCGGAATAGCAATCTGTGGATCACATAAGGCAACTCCTTCCGTGCGAGAGGCCAATCAGCGGTGCCACCTCATCCACAAGACAGTGCAACTTTAATTGAAGTATATTTGTATGAATGTTTGTGTTCCAGGCACAGAGAGCGGTGGTGGTGAGCCAGGCAACACGAGCCACATGGCCGCCAGCCCGCCCGACCACGCCACCGACGTCAACGAGAGCGGAGAGCTCCTCGACTACAACGACTCCAGTGTCCTCGAACAGTTCCACGAGGATGCTCTGCGACAGGTCAGCCCTTCGACTACTTGATATCTTTCTATTGCGTACCAGGTCGTTGGTACAGGCCGGCCAACGAGCAGACGGACCACCTGATGGTAAGCAATCGGCGCTGACCACATACCCCCGCAACGTCGGAGAAGTAACGAGTGCGGATGGTCAGTCTTTTAAGGATTTAGGGATTGTGTTTTAATTTATTTTTGGCAATTTATTTTTGATTAAGGAAAGTAATAAATTAATACTCGAATATTTATACTAAGATTTGTATAATATTGTTTTACAGGCGGGCTCCGGCCTAGCGCAGGCGCGAGTAACACTAGCTGTGTTCCTGGCGATAGCGGGCGCCTCGCTAGAGCTCTCTGCCATCCCCTTCATACTGCCCTCCGCGGAAATCGAACTCTGCATACTACCGCACGAGAAGAACTGGCTAAGTACGTACTATTTAGTTTTTATATTAAAAGAGATTGAAGTCTGTTTGTGCATAAACGACTAAAAAACTGCTAAACAAGTTTTCGTACGATCTATTTATTTATTTATTTATTTATTAAGAGTTACCAACATTTGATTACACAACTACAGTAAGCATAATACAAGCAAGCAAAGAGGAATGAGCCTATGTGTAACAAACAATTACAGGTAACCACAACATTTACTGGTACAAATAATATGTGTATATAAAAAAAAGTTCTTAATTACTATCTACACTAAACTGTTGTTATAATAACTATCGTGAGACATATGTCGGAATACTGAAACGTTACTCAATTTTAAGTATAGTTCTGTCACCCCTAATTCTTTGTGAAATGACAGAGATAGCACGATATTTAAGCACGACTTAAAATTGAGTAACGTTTCAATATTCCAGCAAAACTAAATTAAGTAAAATCGCGGGTTACTCACGTGAGTATACTGAGAAACAGAGGGGTTCTTCCTTATGAGCAGCGTGAGCGGTCGCGGCGACGTCGCGCAGCTCACTCTGTGGTTCAAAACTAGTAGAGCTTTTCTCAGTATATTCACGTGAGTAACCCGCGATTTTACTTAATATACTAAACTGGTTTATTCCAACGGAGACAAGCTCCAATAGCTTCAAAATCAAAATGAAAGTGTTTATTTCATGTAACTAAAATATTAACAAGTACCTCTGAAATATCAACCAATAAAGAATAGTAGTCTGTCAGTCTGCCCGACAGTGACTGTTTAAGATTTTCTAAAGCCTACTATTTAATTAGTCTTTTTTTAAGCCAACTATTAATTTAATTAATTATTTGACAGCCTCCACTAGTTCCAAATTTTATTCTATATTTTTTCTTCCGTACATGCCTTTCTGCCTCGTTGCAACCTCAAGTGGTCGCAAGTGCGAACTGCCAGGCAAGGGGTGTAATTCCCGGGACGGGCAAAGTATTACTAGGTTTTAAAAAAATTCTCAGTAGTAGCACGGAGCCTGGAAATGTGCCCGGTATATGGCAATACACTCACCCCCTATTACATAAAACTCAACATAAATAGTGAAAAGTGGGTTTTATATTGTACAGTGGCATTAAAATGTGCACCTCTGCCTACCCCTTCGGGGAGTCGCGGAGAACCTAACGGGTAACCGGGGCTCCGGCTCGACGTGCAGGAGAAGGAACGGGGTGGTTTTTGTCAGTAAGAGTCTGACACTCCCTCCCGCCTCACCCAGGCGGGAGCAGACATTCGATGATTTTCCCCACTTAAATCGGGGATAAAAGACGAGATGTTATGTATGTATGTACTTTTTCTTCCAGTAATGATAAGCCTAGTAGGCGGGTCACTAGGCGCGGTGGGATGGGGCGCACTGTCGGAGAGGTTGGGACGGAGACGATGTCTAGTCTCTTGTTTAGCCGTCAACGCAGTCTTCGCTGCCATAGCCGCTTTCATGCCCACTTATGGGACTTTTATGATGGCCAGGTAAGCGTTTATTGTATTGTTTCCTAGAAGAATCCTTACTAATATTATAAATCGGAAAGTGAGTTTGTTTTTTTGTTCCGCTTTCACACCGTAACTACTAAACCGATTGCTTTGAATTTTTGCAGATGTAAAGTTAGAAGTCTTAATTAAATAATAGGATACTTTTTATCCCGGAAAAA